AGGTGACAAGAATTTCGCTGTTGCTGTGCTGTGATATTCCTAGACGTTGGTTAACTTCCAGGTTCACAATGTTGGATGGGTTACGTGGAAAAGGTGTGCAGGAAGCAATAACCCGACTATCCCCTTATATTCCCAGGACTTCCCGAGCAGAGATACGGGCCACGACTTTTTGACGGGTAGAAGTTGCAAAACTTGCCAGAGATCGGCCCGTTTTACAGGAAATCTGCTATCTTGAACTGGAATGGGGCGCTGTATTTAAGCCTCGGGTTCACCACTCACTGCCCCCACAAGGGCAGGCCAGCCGTTCGGCCACACGGACAACGTCCTCCCTCCCCCCCCCCCTCGCCCTAAGGATGTACATCCCAGCTTCTCAACGCGCGTCCCAGGGTGCTGCGAGCCCGGTTAGGCCCGCCGTCTCGCATTCCCACCCTATGTTGTGTTTTATACTCTTTTACGCGGACTGTTTCCAAGCACTTCCGGGTAGAGTTCTTCGGGATAGATCATGGGTGAATCGGTTACCCCATATCTGGGGGAGCAAGCTCGAAGTGCATTTTACCAATAACTTTGTGGCTCTGATGCAAACCAACGTCATTTCCCAGCTCAAAATCCTTCATTTTATGTGTTCGGTCGAAAAAATCTGTTTATTGAAATATCTACCCGCAAACAACAGCGCTTTCTCACCGCTGTAGCGTTTATGTCGTTTGACTTACTCTCATGGTGATGTCATGGCATCGCTACCCAGAATGCAGTAATACAGTAATATTGGTTGCTGCTGGATCCTCATTATATTTCCAGGCTGGCTCTGGATTCCCGCGGGATCTCTTGCCGTGCTAATGGCGACATTGCTCTTGCTGCATCTAGCGGCACAGTGCAAGCTGGCTCTTAGCTCTTGCTGGACCCCTCTGCATTGGCCGGGTATTGGATTCTTGTTGGATCTGTCAGATCGCACCACCAGCAGTATGATCTGCGAGCCGACGAAACACAGCCAGGGGTTGGTGGGCAGACTGGTCGGCAGTTCGATCGATGGTAGCTTTTGCTGGCGCCGGTACCAAGAGAGCACCACTTCGGGATCGAAGATCACCTCCTGCAGGTTTTCGGTGGCGAGCAGCGGCCGCGTCGTCCGGCGCCATGACCTCTGCCGGGATATGAAGTAGGGTGAACGACGTTCTGTGACGCACGGACACCCGTAGCGTGGTCCGCAGCCGCGGACAGGTGTGGTGGCTTAGGGATTGTAACACCGTTGACGGGTGGGACGACGCCCATCTGCGGGTACAAAGCCAGGTAGGTCCGGAGCCAGCAGCATTCCATCCCGTGTCACACGGGCCGTTATTCGCGCTCGGTGAACAGCTCCATCGATTTATGATATTCAGTTCATTTGAAAATTACGTTCTACCAAGCTAGCTTAAGTGGCATTCAATTGTATTTCATATTCTATCACATCCTATGTTGTTAACACACAACCAAAATGATGCTTGACACCTGGCAGTACACAAATCACTGACACGGTATAATTCCCACAGTATTTCCTTAGATCACGCCCATAAGACATAATTTCATTGTTAAACTCATCTAAGTCACCACTTGAGCAGACGAGCAGTGAGCAATGACCAGACGTTAGCAGATCCGCTATGCTTACGCCCGCTCTTGTATTTCATCCCAAGCCTTCTCTTAATTTTGTTTAGGGTGGCCATGAAACAGCCTCGCATCACTGCGTCGGATAAGCCGTCAAAAAAATGAGACTTCAGCTATCAAAGTGAACGGCATGGAGAGCGACAGCTGGGTTGGGTTCCATGACCTGTTTCGTCGGTATTTCGCCCTTCACGCCGGTATTCGCGCACTTTTTTTTCTGCCCGGGTATTTAGACTTCGAGATGAAAGGTTTCCCCAGAGATATTTTGCTTCATCGCGGTTTTTTTCAAGCTATGCGCACGCGCCGTTTTGATTTTCTAACGGTGTTTGATTTTCCAAAGCAAGTACCCATCTATGCAAGATAGCGTCAAGAATCCGTCATCCGATAGGATGTGTTCCCGCCTGCTACCACCCATCCCCATGCGCTCCAGATTTTTTTCTTTCGCCTAAACCTGCCTATATTCTACCTAAAAGTCGCGGAGTGTATCCCCTGCCCAACAGCAAAGTCCATAATTCGTTTGTGCTCTTTCTCTCTTTCTCAATACTTTTAGTTTTTTTATAACTTTGGTCCGAACCCCTTGAATGGATGGATTTCTGGGATCAGCGCTCACGCTAAGCAGAGCTTGTTGTGTGAGGCTTGACCCCACCATCCGATCGCGCAATTCCAAGCAACAGCAGCATTTAATGGCGAAAGCTTGACGTGCCGCAATGCTCTGCACGGTCCATCCTGCCCTCTGACGTCAGCTGACTTGTAGCGCGCCCGCTGCCACCGGCCGCGGGCCATACCTGCCAAGGGCAAATAGCGAGTGCCCTAAAGCGACTCGAACCCACCTTGCCACGGGTGGGTGGATCGGAAGGCAGCTTAGAGCTCTATGGAACATGATACGAATTATGTCGTGCTTAGCGGATGTTGGATACGCAGATTCGCATTGCAGAATTATACCAGATTAGGTGGGCCTGATAAAGAGCTCTGTTTCTGACGTCACGCGGTTGTTCCTCCTTTCCGCAGTCACTAGTGTAGTATATGTAATAATGTAAGATATGTAATATTAAATACATGTAATAATATGCGTAAGAATATAAATGCTGATGTAATATGGAACCCCCTTTCCGCCCCTGTATTTACCATCGTAGAGGCTGAATTTGGACGCTGGTTGTTCATGGATTCTAAAAATTGTTTGAAGGCAGGCTGTCCGTCCGTGATATCTTTTTATATGAATCTGGCTAAGAAAGTTGATTTAATGGGTGTGCGGCCAAGGTCTTCGTTTTAAAATTGGTCCAATAATATTTTCGCCGAAGGAGCGCATGGGTTCTTCATGGCTATACTCAATTTCCGTTGGTAGAAGTCATCTCTGAGCGAGGAAAGACCCTGGAGACACTGTGGTAAAAGACGGCAGATATCCTCTCTTGATAGACCGAAGCATTAATTTCATGAAAATGTTGGTCTACCTTAGCTTTCACAGCAGCGACAGCCTCATTGATTGGTATACTGTCATGAATTGGCAATATCTACACTGAAGAAAACGCTGCCTTCGGTTGCCCTTCTGCCTGCGAGTGATGAGAAGTATTTGTAAAAAAATATGTTGTCCCACAGATGAGTGGGAACGAACCTCAAGTGTGGGTGAGTATTTTCTCTAAAAGACACGAAGTTTCTTTTGTAGAACCACCGCACCCATATTTGACGGGTCTAAGGGGTACTGCAGGTTTGTGACCCTTCGGCAGCCCATAGAACATAGGCGCTCTACTGTGTCTAGGTGTTGGATCTTGGATAGTTTTGTCCGAACGTTTTCCGCTAACAGCTCTTTAGTGTCCTTTTTGTTGTCGCCTTTATCTGAGAGCCTGGGCTCCTATTAAGTTTGTCATAGCTGTCGCTGTCGTTAAGTATAGCTTGAGCGTTGTTAACAGAAGTTAGAATTACAAAGCCCTCACTCATCGCTCTGTTCAGCGATAGTGTTATTTTTCCCAAGGCCTTTGGTAAAGTTCCGGTGATCTACAGTGACACTTAGGTTGCCTTCTGTGTGGTTCTTGCACGTGCGCGGTACGTTATCTGCACCTTCTGTTAAAAGCTGGTCGGTCGTGGCCGGGTGCAGTTGCAGTAATAGTTGTGATGCTGCATTCACGCAATTTTAGGATGCAGTCTCTCCACCGTTTGCCGTGTGCAAAACGCCCAAGTCCTGTTTCTGCTTGAAGTAAAATGTTCTAGATGCTGATTTTGTCTGCGCAAAGTTTGGACCCTTGGCTAAAACATTAAGTCCTGTGGTATGAAGTTGCACGGCCGATAAATTAGTCACTCCCTTTTTACTTGTTTTGATTGTCAGCCAGTTCTGCATAGCCATGATTCGCCTGGCGCTTACCTTGAAACTGTGTGAGCTTGTTCACTATGTTCACATAGTCTTGGTCGATTTTCGTTCAAAGCGGTCTCAAAAACTTCCGCATGCCGCGCATATGTGAGCGTACCTTTTGTCGCATGTGGTCCAGAGGTGCCCCGTCACGTAAGTGCGTTGTCAGGCGTCGTGAGAGTGCCGTGGTCACACTAGTATAGTGTATGGAACGAAGTTTGCATGCCTTCGATGTTGCATTTGAATTGACACCCTGCATTGGTGCGTCTTAGTTTGTCGGGTTTGTCTGAGCTGTTTCTTATAAGAAAGTTGGAGGGTTTCTTAACACGATAATAAATGGCAATGTCTATTTTGTGGTCGTTAATGCATTTTACGTGTCGAGAGATAATTTCCCGTAAAGCTTTTTCGTCTTTTTTGTGGGTAGATGTCATTTGATTTTGATAATACAGTTTGACGGTTGGTTGGATGTCCTGTCTTGGTTTGCTGTCAAAGTGTCCTGCCATACGTCCTCGTACTTCGTTTTCAACGTCAGAATCTGACAAACTCTTGTTCACCAAGAGCTGTCTGATCCTTATCAATTCTGAATGTAGTCCTGTCCAATCAGAGCAGTTTCTGATTCAAGCCACAATGGTTGGCAACATCTTGTGGCTCAACTTTCTCGCACGGCGAAACGTACACAAGCTCACGCTCGCGCTATACACAAGCTCACGCTCAAGCTTACCCTATTTACACAAGCTCACGCTGCAATCGTTAGCGAGCACAGACCAATACTAAGCTTTGAATTTCGTCTTGCTGAGATGGTCTGTTCTGACATGGTCTGGTCTGTCGTGATCCGTTCCCATTTTCGAAATTTTGCCACCAATTGGCTCGCAAGTGTCCGTTGTTCTAATCAATCATATCCGGTAAATCGGAAGTCTTTTTCATCTTTCGCCCGGGCTCTTCCAGGATGATAGACCGGCTGGCAGTGGAAGTTCATATACCGCGCTCCGGAAGACTGCGTTATGCTTCCTTCATCACCAACAGATATATTGTAGTTCTTGGGAAATGCACATATATTGGAAACAGTCACACGACGCAATCAAACAAAATACTCCTTGCAAACATCACAATAAATAGACAAACGTATAAGCGTAGTCGGTATATACTGGTCGCATCGCAACGATGGACAGAAAGGATTTGACTCACAATTACTGGTATGTGGGCTGGTACTGGGGTGCGGGGGCGGGCTGATAGCTCTGGGCAGGGGCAGCCTGGTAGCTGGGGGCAGGGGCAGCCTGGTAGCTGGGGGCGGGGGCAGCCTGATAGCTGGGAGCAGGAGCAGCCTGGTAGCTGGGAGCAGGAGCAGCCTGGTAGCTGGCCTGGGTCACCGGCACCTCCGGGGTCGGGTACTCGGTGGGCACGGGGGTCGGCAGGTGGTCACCCTGCGGCTGGAAGCCGTTGGCGTCGGCCACATACGTCACGGTGTAGCTGACACCGTCGTCGCCGGTGTAGCTGTACTGGCCCTGAACGGCGTAGCTCTGCTCACCTCCGTATCCGGCCACAGCCTGGCCAGACTCGGAGGCGTAAATGCCATTCGCAGTCTGGTAGCTGTGAAAATGCGAAGCGTTGCGAATAACTGCGATATTATTTCTGTGGCGAGAATTTGACGGTGTGTTCTCAGAACATGGCACGTCTGTTATACAAGACAAACAGCGGGATAAAACAAAATTTTCGAGCTGTCAATTTGATTCATAGTTGTAGCAGTGTTAAATTGAAACCGGTTTGCAAAAATCGATGGGAAATGCAAAGGCGCGCATTCCATACACATGATCATTCAGCAAATCAGTTCATTGCCGAAATATAAAAGAAAACTAAATATTCGGTAGGAAGAAACCTTATTTATCTTACCTGGAATCGTAAGACTGGTCGTCACGCAGGTCGAACTCCTGGCTCAGGATCTCGATCACCTTGGGGGCGTACTTGGGGGCAGAGTAGGAGGGCTGGGCAGGGGCAGAGTACGAGGGCGGAGCAGGGGCGGAGTACGCGGGCGGAGCAGGCCGCCTGTCAGCGGCAGCAACGGCCAGGACGGCAGCGACGATGAACTGAAACAAAAGGAGTGGACTTCAGAACTTGCATCACTGAACCGTGAATGACATGCTTTACAGCAGCTTGGCATTCGAAACTCCGGGTTGAGAAGGAAGATCCGGTCTGTCGGCGTCGTGGTTCGAACGATGGCATGCATGAGATAAACTGATTTATCAAACTTAGGTGTGCTAGATAAGCGACGCATAAGAAGTGCTTGGTCACTACCAAGAGCAGTTGATCCAAGAGGGGAACGCAACGGTGCCATGGTTATTCCAAAACGGAGAAAATGCCCAAACTCGACCTATGTATGATTGATTTTGGCGCAATTGGCGCCGACATTTTAACCTACCAGCAAGCCGGCTTCGCCCTTCCCGCCCACTGTAGCCAAGGCACCATGCTGGACCCGTTGCTGGCAGCCAGCAATATCGGCTAACCGTAGAGAAGCCCTCGTCAGCTTGCCAGATCGTCTTTCTCAGAAAAGAGAGCAGTCGACTGGCGGGAGTTAAAAGACCTATACACTCACCAGCTTCATCTCGGAGTAGGGTGTGTGTTCTGCGGAGTGCAGGGATCTAGTGATGCTCTACACCGGTCAGCGGGGCCTTATATACTGGTCCGACTGGTCAGCTGATATTTGGCGAGACGTACACTCACCATCCCCGCAGCGTTACACTTTTACACGTACAAGGTCATTGGAGGGGCGGCTGACCTCTCCTGAGCGGGAGCGGGGACTCCTGCGGCTCGGTGCCGGCCAGCTGGTCGGGCCGGTGACACACCAGCAGCGGAACATTGCATCAAAGACGACCTGTTCTGCCCTGCTGGGGTTCACGGGCTGGCCTGTTCGTGAAACGCAAATTGTGACAGAAAGAAATCACTCTTGCTCATGAATTATTCAGTGCTGCTGTTGAGCGCAATGCGACGCCGGTTGCAATAGCATGGGGGGAGGAACCAGAGTGAACCCTGTTGCATCTGTTTGTATCCGAATTGAGGCAATCGTGTTATAGCCGACTGGAGAATGGTATGATCGGATGTTCCGCCTTTTTAATTACCGTGTCCTTCGGACAGGCGAGGATCCATGCGTGCTGCCATCAGTTGCATACCGGCCCAGGTTTGGAGCAACGTGGTGTGCCTCGCCAAGTAATGCGAGTGAGTACACGGGTGGCAATTTCGCACTAGTTTGGCAACACCTGAACGTGATACAAACTTCCATGACGCAGTCAAACAATGACGTATTTATGCGCGTATTGCCTAAGTGGAGAAGTTGCGTTGTCTAGAGCAGCCGTTTAAGGTTCAAAGTATACGAATAGTCATAAGTGAGCCTATTCTAGCATATCTGATGCTGGATTTAATATCTTAAAATGTGGAGCATTCCGTAAAGAAGTAAAAAATGCCCGTGACCAATAATCTGTGTCCTGGTGTTTAATTCAGCCGTATGAGCGCCCCGCTGTGTTACGACACAATACTGACTGTGAACAACATTCGTTAAAAGTGCTTCCTCCTGGTATAGGCAGATGTGAGGGTCCCAAATGGATGACCTAGGCGGGACTGTCCAGAGCCGCTGTGATGAAAATTATTGTACTTTATAGCAGCTCTGTGGTTTATGGCAGCAACCGCAAGCTGGCTTTGGTACAGTCGTGAGGAACCTCGGTCTTCCATTTTAATGCATACCAATAGTTGTAAGTGAGCTACCCCGACCGGCACTCCTCCCCCTGCGTGCCCCGGCGCAGTGGCAGGTCGGCGAGTTGATAGTCACCTGGCGCCTTGGTGACGGGAGTCGACATCTCCTGACACTGCGATGACAGGAGTCGCTATTTCCTGACACCACCGTAACAGAAGTCGCTATCATCTAACGGCACGGTGACAGAGGTCACCATTTCCTGACACCGCGATGGCAGGAGTTGACATCTCCTGACACCGCGGAGACAGGATTCGCCACCTCACCAGCACGAGCTGCAGACGGCCAGTTCAGCGTCGCACACCGGCGTCGGCGGCCAGCGGAAATAGCCACAGTAAATCGTCGTGGTCTAGGCGGAAATTGTAATGACTCCTGACGTAGCGGCCTCTGTTGGGGTGGGAGTTTGAGGTAAGGGTAAAACAAATATGCTCTGAAAATGGGATGTACATAATGCAATACAACATGGAACAAAATGGTTTCACCTACGTCGGCGCGCCCCACCTGGTCACCTGATTAGTACACCAGACACTACAAAATAGCACGCAACGTTTGCGGCTTGGCGTATGGGATGAAACTGAAATCCATGTGCTTGTAGCAGTTGCGGGCTTTCGGCGGTTGTGGGCCAGCTGAAGTGAGAACCTGTAATGAATGGCACACTGCGTGAGCAAGACATCGTCTAGAGAGGAAAAGCACCAAGCGTGGCATCGAAGTAATCCCAAATAAGAATTCAGGTGAAACATACATCATAGAGAAGCGCACAGAGGCAGAAATGCCAGCCAATACAAAGATACTTGAGATATCCGAGCACGATTACAAGTTTCGCGGAAGCGCGGCGCAATGCACAACATGGAACTAGTTTGAATGTCTTCAGGGGAGACCACGAGAACTATCGAAGGCATGAAGGTGTCGTTGGTAATACCTCAGTCAGAGGGAAGGCAACTCCCGCAAAGCACAGTTATTTGGTCTTGCGCTTGTTTCGGGCAAAAAAATGACCTTTTAGAATTACTCATCACGTCAGATTTGCATTGCTTGTTTCGAAATTCCTGAGGGCAGTGGATGGGCGTGGATCTACTGCACTGCCTCATGATTATTTAAATATGCAGATCATTCATTGCAGATATACAAATCCATTGCAGGGGTAGCTGGGTAGGGATTCCCCCACCGTCGGTGACTGGCTTTGCAACTTTGTCACGTTGTCGCTGTCATGTTGTATGAGTTTTACGGAAAGGGCTGGGAAAGGAAAGAACAGAGCTCTTTCCAAGTGGTATTTTGGGCTGACTGGTCTTAGGTTTAAATCTTTGGTTGTGTTGTATTGTTTGCAATTTGTTATGCATCTCCAACCAGACATCAACAAAATTATCACTTGTTGGCGTTTCAGCATATATATATATCTTTAAAATGACGAATCAACCGGTAGGAGAGGGTCCTGTTTAAAATGCGGATAGAAACCTTGTAAGCAACGCTATAGCCGTCCTGTCATGTGTAAACGCAGACGATGAGTGTTTGGTCTCATTTCGGATGTGCTGAACGGATAGTGCATATTTCGTCACGCACTCGTCATATAGTTGATGGTTGTGCTGACCTGGTATGAAGTCCTTGATCCTTTAAGCTCAGGTCTGATTCTCCCTAATGGAAGATCGCCGCAGGTTCGTCACGTGGTTGGGTAACCGGCTACCAGTGAGTGACTATTAATCGCGGCTTGTGAACTCCCTGACAACTATCGAACGATCGCCCAAAACCGTCTTTGTGCTGCAGCGAGTGTGATTAATGATAGCGAATCATCTGCATTGTGCTAGGCCATTGCTGCGGGGTTGCCGCTAATCCCGTGCCTGTCAAACCGCCGCCTGGCCACCCATGATTCACTGCGATGACCAAGCGCTAAAGACATTGTCAGTGTGTCAGAGACGGCGACACGCTTCCGACAGACGGGTGTCCAGTCACGGCCCACCGAACACGGAACGTTCGGACTTCATTGGACACGACTGATGGCGTCGGAAAGCACGCGGAGCACGCGAGACGCGCCCTTGTGGGTCAACAGCGAGACGCCGCAAGGTCACGGCGCGGCTGGGTGTGAGACAAGGTCACGACCGTCGTTAAAGTGGGCCGGTCAGAATGGGCCAGCTTTTGTGACGGTTCCGCGTTGTATAATTAGCTACACAGGCTCGCCGAGGACTATCTCCGGCAATCTCCAACATTACCTCATCTCTGTGACGATGCTCTAGTGCTCAGGCACGTAGTCCAGTCAATTAAGGACAACTTCCTGCCTCGCGTGCCAGTCGAGATTTGGAAGGCGATTGCGTACGAAGTCATGGCAGGATTTGCATATAAAGCAAACCTGCAAGCAATTACTCGGCCAAAGTTCCAAGGAGAACATTCATTTCGTGACCCAGAAACTGTGACTACAGGGCCATGTTGACTTAGAACCACCCAGCGACCATCTAACCGCTATTGTCGCAGTAAAGCCGCGTCCGATTATTTAGGGGCGCCCTGCTGTACAAAATGTTCTCGTTGAAAATCAAACGGACTCTTGCACGGAAACCACAAATTCAAAAAACAAAAGATGGACAGCTGCATTGCCATTGCGCAGCTGGGTAATCAGAGATCCGGGGTTCGATTAACCGCGGTGCGCGCCCTTCCAGCCAGGGTGAGAGGCAGGGGACGCCATATAGCAACAGCAGCTGATTGCGTCGTAAAGCCCTAATGTCGACGACGACGGACCACTGCATTCCGCGGGCACTGCCGCATGTGTGTCGTTTTGTGCTTGTCGATAAGGAGAGAGCTCAGGGTTGGTAAATAATACAAAATAAAAAAACATCAGTCTGATCATGACATGCCCGACTCCTGTGCTGGCAGCGGATCATATGTCCACCTGAGCCGTTGTTCGGGCGTTTCTTCTACCTTCGCCGGGCATGGTGAGCCCAAGATCACCGCGATCTGAAAAACAGCCCGCTAGAGCCGAGCAGGAAGAGGCACCGGACACCTCGCCTACAACCGCGCCAAATAAGCCGCATAAACATCGGCGACAGTGACTGACGGATCGCACGTGATCAGCGTGATTGGAGGAAAATGAGTTATATCTCTGCTCTATCTTTGAAACTATGTGTGATATGACGGTCCGGAAAGCTCTATTGCATATCTTCACTACGCTGAAGTACCACTGGTGACAACATGTGAGCGGCTATGATCTGAAACTCGCCACGCTAGGTTACACAAGTGCAAAGCGTCCCCCCATGTGTCTTCAGCCCCAAACTCGATATCTCAAGAACCAAATATGGCATGGTGGTGAAACGACGTTGGCTCGCAGATCATGCGAGACGACGCTGTCCATCCATGCTAGGGAGCAGTCATCAAAATATGAGATCTGGTCGATGTCACATTATCATGGGATACCGACCATTGTAGCGCAATTTTTTCAAACGTAGTAAACTCATTTCAAACATTGCCGTCATTAATATTTCTTCACTCCACGTTTTGTTCTTCTGAAGGGGATGGAACCTTCAGTGGCCGGGCGGAAAAGTATTCCAAAAGCCTTGTTCCATCATTGAGTAAATGTACCGCCAATAGCTAAAGGAAGCCCCTTCAGATACGACGTGCCTATATCGTAAAACGCCTTAACGTGAAATGTGATCAAACGTCAGAAGAGATCGACAGCGAGACCTTGCCATGATTATGTGCTGTGAGACAAAATGTGTTCAGTTGAGGTAGATGATGGAAAATGGTATAAACAGCCTGTTTAGGTCGCCAGTAACACGCGTTTTAAACGCGTGTGAACACGGGAAAACGCGGGGATGTTCCACATTTCAAGAAACCAAAGCAAGCATCAAATATGATGATATAAGTTCACTTATGAACATTGGTATGCTGTTAAGTTGAAC